CAGCCTTATGCATAGGCTATACGTTTTTTTTTCCTATACAACTCTTTAATTTTTGTTTGGTTTGTTGCATTTTATTGTTGTTTTTGCAACAAACTTCAAAGGTTTACTCTTTCTTCTGGCCCTGTTGTTAAGCTTCCTATTGATTTTTTGTTCTTTTCTCCTTCTCTCTCCATCTCTCTCATAGTTATAAGTTAATACAAACAGTTATTGTTAAAACAAATAATAATAATAAAAAGTTTTAGCTAAAAGTAGGCAATACATTTTGTTAAGAGTTTAAAGATTTGTTAAATATAAACTAAAAAAAGTTGAGGAAAAAAACACTTGCTTTATGGAAAAGAAAATTTTGTTACAAAATTTTTTTTTTTTAAAAACTCAAAAAGGGTTATAATTTTTTATTAAATTTATGTTTAAGTTTTTTATATAAAATATTAACACCCTTATTATTCCAATACTTTTTTGTTAGTTAAACTTCAATTATTTAAAAAATGTTTGGGTTGTCCCGTTTGTTAAGGATTAACCAAACAATGTCACATGTTGTTACAACAAAAATGAAAGGAATCGTGCAAAAAAAAACTAATGGTCAACCCTTGGAATATGTTGGTTTTTTTAAACCAGACAAGTCGAAGCTAAATTTAATTGCGTAAAGTGTTAATAAGTATAACATAAAGAGCAGGAGTTAGTTTAGGCATAAAGTAAAGCATACTTTAAGGCGGTCTTTAAAAATTGCTTAACAAAATAAAACCTTCAATTATAAGGTTTTCTTTCTATTTAAATTCAACTTTTAACCTTTTTCTTATGAACTTATAAGGTATTTCTTCTACATTCAGGAAATCAAAAACCAATAAATCTTTAAAGTGTCAAGTGTCACCTTGTATTTCTGGGCCGTTTTTGGAAAGCTATTTAAGTTTATATTTACCAAATGACTCGCTGTTGCTTTCTTTATAGAAAACGCGTTTATTGCAAAACAAATAACAAGGATATTTGAAAAATTGCATGTTTCCTTTTTGAAAAATACCTAAAGGAAAACACACACACACACACAAAACAAACATACAAATGTCAACATTTCAAAAAGTATTGTGTATTTGTTGCTATTTGCAAATGTCTTGATATGCGCTATATTTGCCCCTTTCTACGGCCCACATTAGTTGTTTTAAATGTGTAGATATATTTATTGGTTTTTAAAGACAAACGTTTTATTTGCACGCACCATAAAAACAACTTTGATTTGTAAGCCAGCAGAAAACCCAGCAAACATTTTAATTACAAATTTTAATAAATTTGTAAATGTTTAAAGAAAATTATGAAAAAACTTGTCTTTAAACTATTAAAATTAAACAATTAAAAAGCAAATAATATAGAAAACCTTTTAAAACCCTTATTGCCAAGAATTTAAATAAAATCTAAAGCCTAATTTTAGGCATAAAAAGAAAAAACCTTAAAAATACCAATAACCAAGTTTAAGTTTCTAATTTTTTGCTTTAAATGAAAGCAAAATAAAAAAATTTAACATGTTTAGAAAGCTAATAGAATAAATTAAGAATTAAGACTAATTTACTAATATAAAACCAAATTTGAAGACTATTTTTAGGCTGAGAAGAAATAAACTCTAAAAAATTTAGTTTCACAGAAAATAAAAAGAAATTGTTAAAAAGGTTTAAACAAAAACAAACAAAACTATAGAAATTTAAAATTTTGAAAAAGCTTAAGAATGTAATTAACATTGATTGATTTTATAAACTGGAATGTGAAGCCTACTTTTAAGGGCTACAGTCTAAAACTTATAGGAATTATGATAGAAACTGAAAAAAGAATAAATTGTTTAAGGTTTTAACACAAAATAAAAGAAAACAATAAAAGTTACACATTTTAAGAAGCCTGAGCCTAAAAACTAGAATAAGAAGTCTACTTTTAGGGGCTAGAAATGAAAAAAATCCTAAGAATTTTGTTAGAAATTGTTAAAGGTTTTAACACAAAATCAAAGAAAACTACAAAAGTTTCACATTTTAAGAAACCTAAGCCTATAAACTAGAATAAGAAGCCTACTTTTAGGGGCTAGAAATCTAAATCTTATAGGAATAATGTTAGAAACCGAAAAAATTAGAAATTTTTAGACATTTTAACACAAAATAAAAGAAAACTATAAAAAAAATTACATTTAAGGAAAGTTGATTTTATAAAGTGAAATATGAAGCCTACTTTTAGGGGTAGGAAATCTAAAACTCATAAGAATTTTGTTAGAAACTGGAAAAAGAAGAAATTGATAAAGGTTTTAACACAAAATTCAAGAAAACTATAGATATTTAACATTCTAAGAAAGTTGATTTTATAAACTGGAATATGAAGCCTACTTTTAGGGGTAGGAAATGAAAAAATCCTAATAATTTTATTAAAAATAGAAAAAAGAAGAAATTGTTAAACATTTTTCGATATAACACAAGAAAACTAGATAAAATATTAGGGACTACTAGAATTTAACAAAATTTAAAGCCTAACCTTAAGGGGCAGATAGGGAAATTGTATAAAATTTGTATGTGGAAAGAAAATAACAAGAAATTTAACAAAATTTGTCTTACAAACAAACGAAATTTAAAAACATATATAAAGTTTTATAAAGACAACAAAATTTAAAGCCTAGCATTAAGGCTTATTAAGGAAATAACACAATTACTTTAATTTTAAGATATTTTTGAAAATTTTATTTATAATTTTCTTTAAGAATTTAAAAAAGAAAACCTTTTAGTTTTGTTTTTTTTAAATAAGACAAGGCTGTATTTAGCCAAACCCTTAAGGATATATTTTAAATTGTGCTAAATTCCTTTTTAATCATTTAAGTTGAACATGCAAATTTGCATGTTTTGAGGTTTTTCTTTTGTAATATTGATGGTTAAATGATGATTAAAATCTTTCTTAAACTTAAGTTTTTTTACAATAATTACAAAATTTTCTTGCTTTTTTTTTAGACAAAATGCATTTAATTGCAAAAAAAGAACTTGCTTCATGTTAATTAAAGTTTTTAGTTTGAAAAAAAGAAAGAAAAAAAAATACCAACAAACGCGCAAATTTGTAAAAATTGATGTCTGTCTACACGCCAAAATTATTTCATTTTAGTTTCAATAATTAAATCAAAAAATACAAGAAAAAAAATCGCAAATGTATACCCTTCAAAGACATTTTGTAAATTTATTGTAAAAAATCATATTATAGACCAAAACTGTCTGCTTATTTTTCAATTTTGTTGTTGTTTTTTTCTTGTCATTCCTGTGCAGAAATCAAAAATAATTATAAAAACAACAACAAAATCTTGATGCCATCTATTGCTGCTGGTAGTTTGTCTATTTGGTGGCTGGCTGGCGTTTAGCCAGTTTATAGATACTTGATTTGAGGCATATAGAATAAATAAATATCTATATATTATTACAAGTATATGACATTAAAAAAAAGAAATACGTGTATAATAGAGAAGACAAAATAATAAATATTTAATTTTGTAAATCGTATTAGAAAGAGATGGTTGTAAGAAAAAACTAAATGATTTTAACTTTACTATTTCATCAAAAATGTTCTCATTTTTGTCCATTTTTTAAAATCCATTACTAATTATATATTTTAGCTTAAATTTTGTTTTATTTTTAATTTTTTGTGTTTTTTAAAGAAATTTCTTTTTTTTTTAATAAAAATAATTGTTTTAAAATAAAATTATTTTTTTTTTTTTGTGAAAAAAATGTGTGAAATTTTTAGCTAAATTTAATGAAATTTATTTGATTAACAACCACATTAAATTTAAACATTATGATTTCAAAATAAATTCTCTAGCAGCAAATTAGAAATTTTATAAATTTTGGCAGCATAATGAAGAAAACAAATCCTCAAACGACTAAATAAACATATTATTTAAAATAGCTGATTCTTTTAAAACTGTAAACCAGCTTAAAAACCACTAAAATTATACTAAACTCCTAAAAATAGGCTACAATTTCTAAAACTCCTTTATAACTAAAAAATTTTTATGAAAATTTCCTCAAAATATCATTAAAAAACTAAAATTTATAAAATTTCTTTAATTTTATAAAAATTTTTAAAAAAGTACTTAAAATTTCCAAAAAGTACCTTATTGGTACTTTTTTAAATTTCTTCAAAATGTCAAATTTTCTTTATATAAATGATTTTTAAAGCAAATTATGTAAGATAAGTCAAAAAAAAATTAGTACTTTTTAAGTACTTTTTGTAAAAATTTTTTAAAATTTCCAAAAATTTTTATGAAACTATTAATAAAATTTCTTTAAAAAACCAAATATTACAAAATTTTTCTTATTTTTAATAAAATTCTTAAAAAGTGGTAGAAATTTCAAAAAAGTACCTTTTTAGTACTTTTTTTAATTATGTTAAAATGCAAAATTTTCTTTATTTTAATGATTTTTAATGCAAATTATGTAAAATTAGCATACGAAAAATAGTACTTTTTGTAAATAAGGGGAAATTTCCTATAATTTCCAAAATTTTGTATGAAACTATAAATAAAATTTCTTTAAAAAACCAAATATTACAAAATTTGTTTTATTTTTAATAAAATTATTAAAAAGTAGTAAAAATTTCAAAAAAGTACTTTTTGTAATACTTTTGTAAAATTTTAATAAAAAAAAGCTAAAAGTAGAACTAATAATGTTACTAACTAGAAATTTTACTATTTAAGTAAAAAAATTAGATTTTTATTAAGTACTTTTTAAGAAAAAAGGAAAATTTTCTGGATTTTGTTAGAAATTTTCAAAAAGTACTTTTTCTATAAGCTTACTCCTTAAAATAGGCTTTAATTGTTGTCATTACTAAACTCCCTCGAAGTATTAATGAATTTGCTTTAAAGTCATCTTAAGCCTTAACATAGGCTAAAATTTTGTAAAATTTTTAAAGCTGATCCTACATAACCTCACTTTATTCAAAATTTTGTGTGGATTACAGTCTAAACTATTTAAAAAAAATTAAACTCTAGAAAAAAAACTTACCTTTTTTGGGTATTAAAGATTTGAGCAGCATCACTGCATTATCATCACAAGACCAGGCATGCATTTTGCGATAACTGTCACGACCCTTCTCGGTCAATTTATCCCAAGGTTTGGGTTTCGACAGCAATTCCGAAACAGTGCCCTGCGATAGACCCAATATATATTTGGCAAATATACGTTGACCAATATTGTGCACCGACAGCAATTCACGTACACGCCTAGAGATATGCAAGGTATCCAAAGCCTGATTGGCATATTTGTCCATATTGTAACGTAACATTTCCTGTAGTTTAGCCTCCATGGGATCACCCTTGGGGATCAAAGACTCACCCAAACGACCGGCCATAGAAGTGCCGGGGGGCAATTGTAAATCATCGGCAAAACGGAAGTGGCCACGTTCTTGAAATTGGAATGGTAAACCAGGCAAAAAGCCATGAGGCAAATGTGAGGCATGACCAGCGCCCATATGATGACCCGTGGGTGTGGCACATAAACTATTGTTATTATCCTCCAGATTCTTAAGTGAGCCATTCAAAGATAAACTATGATGATCTTCTGAGTTCTGGCGTTGTTCCTGCAAATTGGGGGTGCTGGCACTGGAGGCCGAGGAGTCATGATGATTAAGAGCAGACTTATCATGTTCCGACGTTAAATGGCCGGGCAATTGATGGTGCAGGTGGTGGTGATGATGATGGTGGGGCTGTAAATGATGATGGTGTGAAGCAGCGACGGCGGCAGCTTGAGAATGTGAAAAACCATCTGCAGAACGTAAAGAGGATTGAGTTGTAGAAGTATTAGAGTTGGGAGTAGAAAAAGTAGAATTAACTAATTGACTAAGCAAAGTGGTGGAGGAGGGACCACAGGGTGGCTGAGACTGTGGTGTTGATAAATGCGTTTGTGTGGAGGAGTGAGGTTGATGATGCAGTTGATGATGATGTTGGTGTTGTAGGGGCTGATGTTGCATAAGCAATTGCTGTTGTTGTTGGTGTTGATGATGATGCTGCTGCTGCAGAGAACGTTGTTGTTGTTGCTGCTGCTGTTGCAAATGTTGCTGATAATTATTGTTATACAAGGCTTTGCTGTTATCAAAACCCCGACGCCAATAAGTATTCACCAATTCCTCACCCAATAAAGTGCCAAAACGTTCCACATTCTGTTTAAACGAAGAAGAAACTTCTTCGATATCATTTTCAGTTTCTTCTTCTCCTTCTACTGGTTCTTCTTGATCATGTTCTTCAAGTGGCTTAATTACATGGGCCTCTGAAGTTTGTTCGGATTGTTTTATTTGAGAATTACACTCTTCTACCACTTCCTCTTCATCATCATCATCATCGAGTATTTCAATTTTTGGCACTTTTGAGGAGCTGTCTGTAGTTAGCTCTTCATTGTTATGTTCTAGAGCTTGAGTCTTTTTATCAGTTTGTAGTTTAGAATCTAAACTTTGAGGCTCTGGCTCTTCAGTATTTGTTAAGCTTACTGTTTTATATATATATTTTTTTTTGATTTTTTTGAAATACAAGAAGAATTATACAAAAGTTATAAAAAAACCTTAGTGTGTTTTTAGGGATTTTTTGAAATTTTTTTTTAAATATTTTATTTTTGTTGAGATGAGAGAGTAAAGTGAGTAAAAGAGAGAGTGAGATTGTTTGATTTGAATGGCAAGAAAACTTAAAAAAAAGTGTAAGAGCAAAACGCCAATTTGTAAGAACTTAATAAAACTGTTTTAACATGCTTAGCAAACTTGTTGGTTTTTGCTAGTGGTATTTAATAGATAACATTTTCATTATCTTTATAATAATATTTATTTTGTTAAGAAAAAGACAGCCATAAAACTTGGCGCCTATTTGAAATGTAAAAAAAGTACATAAAGCCGCCCACAGTTTTGCCTTTTTTTGTTAAATATAGAATGCTTTTTATGGTATAAAAATGTCCATAATTCTTTTGTAAAAAACCACACCAATAAACACATCAACAACAACAACAACACAGCCATAAATATATAAAATTTTTTCCAATTCATTTGTTTAAGTTAAAAAAAAAACTGAATAAATTTCTTTGTTTGTCAATTAGGTAAATATTGAAATTAAATAATAAAATGTTTTTTTAAGGAAAAAAAGAAGTTTAATTTAAGAAAAATTATAAGGTTTTTTCTTTCAGTGTTTAAAGTTGTTTTATAAATACTAATAATAAGAAAAGCAATTACCTTCGTTATTCTTTAATGCCTCAGCAGCTACCAAAGCTTTGGTTCTTTCCATTAATAATTCTTGGAATTTATTGGGATCATTATTGCAGGCTGCTGCTGCGGCGGCGGCAGCAGCAATGGCATTTTGTTGGCTAATCGAGTCTAAAGATAAGGGTGATCTAAAAAGGAAATAAAGCAAAATTTTTAAGAAAAAAAAATTATTAGAAAAATTTTTTTTATAAATAAAATAAAAACAAAAATTTAAAAATATTGAAATTTTAAATTTTTTAAAATTTAAAATAAAAAATTTCTAGTTCAGTTCTAGTTTAGTTCTAGTTCAGTTCTAGTTCAGTACTAGTTCAATTCTAGTTCAGTTGTAGTTCAGTTCTAGTTCAGTTCTAGTTCAGTTCTAGTTCAGTTCTAGTTCAGTTCTAGTTCAGTTCTAGTTCAGTTCTAGTTCAGTTCTAGTTCAGTTCTAGTTCAGTTCTAGTTCAGTTCTAGTTCAGTTCTAGTTCAGTTCTAGTTCAGTTCTAGTTCAGTTCTAGTTCAGTTCTAGTTCAGTTCTAGTTCAGTTCTAGTTCTAGTTCAGTTCTAGTTCAGTTCTAGTTCAGTTCAGTTCTAGTTCAGTTAGTTCAGTTCTAGTTCAGTTCTAGTTCAGTTCTAGTTCAGTTCTAGTTCAGTTCTAGTTCAGTTCTAGTTCAGTTCTAGTTCAGTTCTAGTTCAGTTCTAGTTCAGTTCTAGTTCAGTTCTAGTTCAGTTCTAGTTCAGTTCTAGTTCAGTTCTAGTTTAGTTCAGTTCTAGTTCAGTTCTAGTTCAGTTCTAGTCAGTTCTAGTTCAGTTCTAGTTCAGTTCTAGTTCAGTTCTAGTTCAGTTCTAGTTCAGTTCTAGTTCAGTTCTAGTTCAGTTCTAGTTCAGTTCTATTCAGTTCTAGTTCAGTTCTAGTTCAGTTCTAGTTCAGTTCTAGTTCAGTTCTAGTTCAGTTCTATTTTAGTACTAGTTCAGTTCTAGTTCAGTTTTAGTTCTAGAATTTTTATTAAATTTAAAAAAAATTTTGAAATTTTTTAAAATTTTTTATGAAAAAATTTGAAATTTTTCAATTTTTTTTTTTTTTATTTTTTAAAATTAAATTTTTTGTTTTATACTCTACTTTTTACTTACTGTGTTTCCTTTTTGATTTGTATATCTTTAACAGAATCTTTAGTATTTGTACACTCTTCCATATCTAAAGAATTTTGATTATTATCTGCTCTAACTTCAGATGAATCCTCTTCCTCCTCCTCTTCTACTTCATCATTATTTTCTTTTTCCTTTATTAAATCACAGTTTCTATCTTTAACAATTTCTTCGCAATCATCATCATCATCGTCATTCTCCACTGGCTCGTCAATGTTTTCAATATTAACAATATCTTGAGCCTTAGTTGTTTCCTTAATCTCTAACATTTCACAGTCTTTGTCCTCAGACTCGGCTGGCTTCTGCTGCTGCTCTAGTTGGTTTTGTTGTAAAGCTTCATTTATTTGCTGTTTATCCAATTTGGATTCTAAACGTATTATATGCTGGCGTTTGGCTTCCAAATGTTCTTCTAATCGATGGATTTGTATTAAGTGTGTTTGTTCTACGTTTCTTAAACGTTTAACTTCTTCGAATAAGGCTTTAATCTGCAGAAGAAAAAAAAAACAAAAGAAATTAAAGAAAATTATTATTAAATAAAAAAAATTTTCTTAATTATTAATAAAAAAAATAAAACAATAAAAAACATCCTGCAAAAAAAAAAATAAACTTTGTCTTTCATATAACTTCTCTCGAAAAGAAATTATTGAAATTTCCCTTGTCAAATTTAGCCAATTATCATATTTTCAACAACACAACAACAACTATATAACAAGAAAATTGTTTAAAAACTTCCACGTCTTGAAAATCTTGCAACACATACTCTTTTCTTTTCCTATCTATCTACCTAATGTTAACTTGATACCTTTGCTTACAACAACAAACCCCCCTTTAAAATTGTCATAAAAAAACAACAACACACATATGAGCTGTGATTTTTACCCTTATGTTAATTTTATTAAAAAATTTTATGTTTTTTTATATATATCCATATAAGAAAAAATATTGTTAAAAAGAAGTTTGTTCAAACAAAAAGAAATTTATTGACGAGCCTAAATGTATGCTATAGAATTTAAACGTTGCTTTACAAGTTTTTGTTATACACCACAAACTGTTGGTTGTTTAATGGTAGTAGTTGTTGTTGTTTTTTGTTGGTATTTTTATGATATATACCTTGAAAAATTTTATTTTATAGGCAAAATAAGCCTTAAAGTATGTTATACAATTTCTTTACTTTTTATTAATATTCATTAAGAAGGTTTTCTTTCTTTCGCTGTAGCAGACAAAGGAGGAGGGGAGTTTTTTGTTAAATAATAACATAACAATCAATTAGGTTTTAAAATTTTAAAATCTATATTTGGTTTTTAATAAAAGTACAGCATACTTAAGGGTTTTTTGTTAAAAAAAATTAATTTACACAATAAAAATTTATTTTAAAAGTGTATTTTGTAAAAATTTTAGTTTAAAATAGAGAAATTTCTTAAGAATTAAAAAATTTTCCAAAAAAGTACTTTTTTGTTAACTTTCCATAAAAGTACTTTTTGTTGGTACTTTTTTAAATTTTAGTAAAAAACTATAAATTGTTAATTTTGTTGATTTTTATTCAAATTTAATTAATTTATTAAAAAAATTAAATTTTTTTTAAAAAGTAGTGAATTTTTTGAAAAAAGTACTTTTTTGGTACTTTTTTCAAATTTAACTAAAAAGCTTTAAATGGTTTATACTAATGATTTTTAAGCAAAATTAATAAAAATTTTAACAAAAATTATAAAAATATAAAAAGTACTTTTTAGGTACCTTTTGGTACTTTTTATTACTTTAAAATTTTGTTAAAAAAATTCAAAATTTATAAAAAACTTAATAATATCATTAAGATATTTATTAAAAATTTTACAATATGAAAGAAAAAAATATTTTTTTTAAATAGTAGTGAAATTTTCAAAAAAGTACTTTTTTGGTACTTTTTTAAATTTAGCTAAAAAGTTTTAAATTGTTTATATTAATGATTTTTAATCAAAATTAACAAAAATTTTGCAAAAAATTTAAAAAAAAATAAAAAGTACTTTTTAGGTACTTTTAAGTACTTTTTGTTACTTTTTGAAATTTTGTTAAAAATGTTCAAAATTTGTTAAAAACTTTATAATTTAATGATTTTTAGTAAAAAATTTAAATTTTTAGAGAAACAAATTTAGTACTCTTTTTGGGGTACTTTTTGCTTAAGTGATAGTTTTAAGACAATTTAAAGTTATATTTAAAGCTTTTTCAAGTTTTTTTTTTGAAACTAGTAATAGTTTTTCAAGTAGTTAGCTAAAAATAATTGCCTAGTTTTAGGCTTTTTTTATAGCAGTTTCACAATTTGCGTGTTTGTAACCAGTATAACTCTTTTTTCCCCATAAACACATGTGTGTTTATAAAGTTGTCATATACATTTAAATCAATGACAATAAATTTTTGTTTTATGGTAATTTTTAGGCGGTAAACTATTTACAAAGACACACATGTTAGTTAATAAGTGGGTTTTAACCCCCCTGTCCCTTTCCTCCCCGGACTTTTCTTTACTTTACTAATATGATTATTGCCAATAAACAATAAAATGTTGCCAACGCAATAAAATGCAATTATTAGAATTAAAAACCTATAAAAAACTCATGTTCATATACATAAACCTAAAAACAAACAATAATTTATAAATAATAATAATAATAAAAATTAACATAGTATAGACAAGAGACATAGATAAATTAACAAAGTTTTTGTAAAAGGCATAAACTTTAATGTTATACAGAAATCAACAAAATTAGCATATGAGTCTACACATGTGTTGGATACATACATACATACATATGTATGCATGTATGTAAGAGTGTATGTGTATGTAACTTTTACCTTGTTTAAAAGTATTGAATATAAAAGGGTGTTTTTGTTTTTTTTTTACCAGATTTCATAATTAATCAAATAAAATTTATTTTTTTTTTTTGGAAATCTTTTATAAGAAAGACACAAACCACCCCTTTTTTATAGAATTTAACAAACAAACAACAAAACTAATTAGTTATAGACAATGTTGTCTATCATCTTAATAACTCAAACTCAAAATTCTAACAAATTTCAAACTCTGAAGGAAAAAAATAACTTTAAGCAAAAACATCAAACTTCAGCTGTCGTCAACACTCCCCTTAAAATATGCTATGGATTTTATTATGCAAAATATGTATACAAAATAATCAATGACTTTTGTTGTTTATTAATTTATTTTTGTATTATTTTATTTCATTTTTTTTGTTGCTATAAAAGTTGTATTAAAGGATCTTGGTATTAAGACACTCTTACACCACCCCTCCCTCCCCTTTCGTTTCAATGCCTTAATAAAATAAAACATTTTCAAATGGTTACAAACTGCCAATTATTAATGAAAATTCTGTAGATCCAACTGTATCATTTAAAATTTTCTTAGAGCTAGAAAAGTTGTGGCATTGTTGGTAGGGAAAACCAGAAAGTTTTTAATATTTTCTCAATGTTCTAAAGTAATCAAGTCATAAGGTAAGCAAAGAATAGATGAAATTGTGTGTAGACAATTTTGTAATAAAATTGATAAATTAGTTTTTTTATTGGGAAAGGGTAGAGGAGAGAAATGTTTATAAGTTTAAAGTTAAACTTTTAAGTTTTTATATTTTTGTAAAGAATTTTTTTTTTAATTTTTCATTTTTTTTGAAAGACAACTGTACTTTATGTAAATAATAATTTTTGTATAGAAATTTAATTAATAACAAAAAAATAAACCCCCTTAAAAGTATGCTTTACTTAATAAGCTTTAACAAACAAAGGGTTAGAAAAACTAAAGCCTATACATAGGCAGTAAAAAAGTAAAATAATACTTAAACACTGTTGAAATCATTAGAAATCAATGATATTTGTCACTTCTACTCTTACATATTTGTCTCTAACATGTCCTGGCAAAAGCAGCCAAAACAAAATCCTTTTGAACAGAAAAAAAAACAAAATTTTAACCCTTTATTGTTTTTAAAAGGCAAAAAAGTATTAGCTGAACATGTGAGTTAAGGAAATACAAAAGACATTTGTGTATTTAAATTTCAATATTTATGTAGTGGTAATATTTTTAAAATTTTTCTGCACGACTGAATTTTAATTTCTATACAAAACAACGTCAAAGTCATATTTATAGCAGGCTAAAAGTATGCTATAGATTTTAAGTCAATAATATAGAGAAAAATAAAACAGTGGAGTTGAAAGGAAAGATATGTGTGAGTAGAGTTATTAAAAGTAACTGTCTTAGATGTTAGTGTGTGTGTAAGAGAGAGAGTGTGTGTGTGTGTGTGGTTGCTGTAAAGTGTGTTAACAATCGTTTGTTTTTTTGTTGATTATTTATGTTGATGATGAGTTTGAGTGGCTGCTTGGCAATTTTGTTAATTACAAATCGGTTTTATATGTAGAGTAGATATTATTATTTTATATTATTGTCTGAGACCTTGTACAGCTTCTTATCATATGAGGGTTGTTTTTTTTATTATTATGATGATTTTTAAATCGTATATATTGTATATATATTTTATTTGTCTAACATGAGTTCGATTTTTAAGAGCTCTTCTTTGTATTCATATTTACTTTTTGTTTCATGAATTTTGTGTAAATTATGAAATATCCCTTGTTTTGTTTTTGTGATTTTTTTTGTGGGTTTTGGTTTTTTGAACATAAAGTGACCATCATTCAAATGCCAATGTCCAAGTTTTTTTTTTGTATTATTATTAAAAGGGTTTAGAGGGCCTTTCACATATGAGTTATTAACAAAAAAAGGACATTTTTTAGAGACAAAAAAAGGTATTTTTATATTTTTAATATGAATGTCATTTAAATGATAAAAATTTCCCCCCAAAAAAGGGAAATTAAGGGAAAGAGCAGAGTTTTAAAAAAAAGATAAAAGCTATTTTTTAAATAAATCAATAATTAAGGCAGAAAAAAAGTAAAATCTTATACCCTAAAACAAAGTAGCTTTAAATAAAACAAAATCTATAGCCTAACTTAAGGCGTGCAAACCTAAACAAAAACAAAGTCTAACTTAAGGCTTAAACTTAAAGTTAATTAAGGCAGAAAAAAGATAAAAACTCACTTGCTAATACAAAGTAGCTTTAAATAAAACAAAATCTATAGCCTAACTTAAGGCTTGCCAAACTAAACAAAAACAAAGTCTAACTTAAGGCTTTAACTTAAAGTTTGTTTATAGATTAGACTGCTAAATAACTTTAAATAAAGCCATAAACACTGCCTAACTTAAGGCTTTACAACTTAAACAAAAAACAAAGTATAGTTTAAGGCTGATAATATGCATTCCTTTAGATATTTTTCAATTTTTTTTGTTTTAGAAAAATATGATTTGTGTTCAACTAAAACAACAATTTTTCTTATGGAAAAAATAAATTCTCATAAATAACACTTAATGATTTTTTGTGGTTTCATTATCTTCAATTCCTAACACAAACAACAACAACAACATTTTATAATATTTATGCTACATTAACTGTCAGTCACTAAG